AGAGGCTGGGATGGAGGGAAGAGAGGCTGGGATGGAGGGAGGAGACGCTGGGATGGAGAAATGAGAGGCTGGGATGGGGGGAGGAGAGGCTGGGATGGGGGGATGAAGGGCAGGCAGCCCCCTCCTGCCTTTTCCCTGCCCACCAAGGGATGCATCCCAGCTTCCAGCCATTCCTGCTGCCGTATCCTGAGCATCCCTGCAGCCTCCACACCACGCGACTGCTCTGGGCATCAACACACAGACTAAAAATCTTAAAGCGAAGAATAAGTGTGGATTAAAGCAGAAAATGTGGTTTTTTTCTCTCTCTTTTACAGGCTTTTTGTAATTCCCTCACCTATGGGGCTGGGATTGGGATGGGTTTGTCCAGGTAAACCCTTGCTGGCTGCTGGAAGATGCTGGCAGTAAGGAATTTTGTCAATAAAGTAAAATAAACTTTGTTGGTGAAATAACATAAATTTTATTGACAAAACTCCTGCCCTCCTGTACCATCTCCATTCCTCAGCCAGCTGCACGATCTTCCTTCCTCCCACTGCTGAGTGTGGGATGAGTGAGAGGTTTCCCCAACGGATAAAGCATTAAATGAGCAATTGTTAAAGCACTTGAAACAAATGAGCTGCCATGGAAGGTTGGGGAATCTCCCTTCTTCTTTTTGCAGGCAATTAAACCTCCCTGCATGGAAAGGGATGGCCCATCCATCCATGGACCCACTGCTGGTCCAGCAATCGGGATTAATCCAGATTAACGAGCGCTGGGAAAGCCCGAGGTTGGCTCCACACACTGACCCAGCTCTCCCCAAGCCACGCTTGACCTCACCTCAACCCACGAGGGTGACAACCCAGCTGCCGCTCCCACCCCTCCCTGGGTGACACTCCTGCCCCGAGTGCCACCCCGTGAGGGCTGGAGGAGCCCTTTGGAAGGGCTGGGTGATGGCAAGGATGGGACTGGAGCGGAGCAGCTCCTCCCAGCGCTCCCTTCCTGCCACCTTCCCTCGGTGACATTTGGGCAGCGCTGCACCAAAAACCCCGCTGTGGGAGGCACTCACATCCACCCTGACACAAAGCTGGGCCGCTCTGGGCTCCATCACCGCCGAGGGAGCATCCAGAGCCTCGTCCTGCTTCCGAGGGCTGGGGCTGGGCCGCGCCGGCGGCCGAGCGTGAAGGCAGATGCGATTATCCGCGCCGGCTGCCGCTGCAGCCGTCCCCGGCAGCCCCGCACTCGCCACGGGCTGGGGGAGGACACGGGCTCGGAAAGCACTTTAAAGCCTCGGGATATAATCTCTGCTCTGAATAATAATGATAGTGAGAATAAAAAGATATAAAAGTGCCTTATCGCATCTGCCCGGGAAGCTCCGCGTCGGGTTGAGCACGGAGCAGCTGGCACCGGGGCAGGATCTGCCTTGGGAAGAGGTCATGGCTCACAATATCCACAGGACACCCCAAAAATCCCCCTTGTCGTTGGTTTCAGCCCTTCTGCCTTCCCTCATGGCCCAGCCCGGCCCTTCCTCACCCGCCACAAAAATCTATTGGAGAAAACAGGATTTTACGTAATGGCTCGTGTTGTTCTGCTCCCTGTTTTACACACACACACAAAAAAATAAAAAGATGGTAAGTGAAAACAAGGTCAAACCTTGCTCTGGCTGCCTCGTGTCCCCGGGGAGCACAGGAAGGGAGAGCACTGCTAGAGCAGAGGAGGGGACACCCCAGCCCTGCTCCTGGGGGAACAGGGACAAGGGTCCCCCCCCTCCCCGCTGGCTTCAGCACCCCAGGCTGGCTCTGGGTCCTCTTTTAGGCTTAAATCACAAACCCGAGCGCGGAGGAGGCAGGGAAATCAAAATTAAAGTTTATTAAAGACAATAAATTACATTCCCTTGAGATACAGTAGATTTTGAGACAAGTACCTTGTTTTGCAGGACAGGAAACCTCAGCACCCTGTACCAGTGACTCCTGGGAACACCACTGGGATGCTGGGGGTCCTGAGGAGTGGAGGGGGGCAGGCAGGATGCTGAGAGTGCCTCCCTGAAGGTGATTGACTGCTGCTCGTGCCCGACTCAGCGGGTCCCTGCTGAGCACTGCTCACGGTCATGACACCGGTGACGCAGCCAGAAGCTGTCACGCTCCAGGTTCAGGAAGGAAAAGCCTCATTCCCAGTGCTCCAGCAGTGAGAGGCAGGGAGCTCTGGCTGGGCTGGGACAGTGCAGTGGGTGCTGGATGAGCAGCAGTGGATGCAGAGGTAGATGCTGGGCGAGGAAGGCACAGCGGAGCATCCCTGTCCACCCTCAGCGCCCGGCTGGATTTGTGCAGCTGGGCCGTGTGGGCTCCCCAAGAATCTGGGAGGTGGAAGAACCACCCAGCCAAAAAAGCAGGGGGGATGTCCTGCCAGAGCCCAGGGCCAGGATAAAAATACCCTTCCCACAGCAGCCAGCGGAGGGAATTAGAGTGGAATAACCCGGCCGCCGTGGCAGGGGAGGCTGCAGCAGCAGACGGGAGAGGCAGGGCTGGCAGGGAAAGGAGCCAGCGCCTGGGAGAGGGGCAGATGTCCCTGCGGAGCCCCCGGGGCTGGGAGCCCGAGGTGACCCCCCAGGTGTCACCCTGGTGGTGGGGACAGAAGCCTGGTCTCGGTGCCGGTGTCTCCAGGCAGGGCGGTGAGCAGCGTTCCTCGGGCAGCTCCCAGAGTCACTGCAAGGTACAGCCTGTGCCGGGGCACACGGCGCTCAGCCCACGCCAGGGGTGGGGGCAGGGGCTCCCGGGGCTGTGTGGGGCTGGGATCAGCCACAGGCAGGGATATCTGCATGGCTGTGGCAGCTGGAGGAATATTTCCCAAGTCCCCACGGAAAAGGGGGACTCACCGCTCCGGACGGACTCTGCCAGCGCCTCTTTGCCCATGGATTGTGCCTCCCGCATCTGCCAAGGGAGAGGGGCCTTTTCCAGCCTTTATCCTCCCCCAGCTCCCTCCAGAACCCCCCCAGTCATCATACCTTGATCTGATCCTTCAGGTACTCGGCTCGGGCCATCAGGGTCTGGATCTGGTGGGGACAGAGAGAGGGTGCAGCCCTGGAGCCAGGCCCCGGGGGATGGCCGGCTGTCCCAAGGCTGGCACTCACCTCGGCATGGAGCAGCTCCCGCCGCCGCCCCGCCGGCTCCGCTGCAGGGAAAATGTGCCATGGGATGAGGGATGAGAGCACAGGACCCCTCCTTGCCCTAAAATCCCAGCCACAGTCCCAACTCACCGGCCAGGAGCAACAGCAGCTCCCCCAAGCTCTGCTGGTACAGCTCCAGGGCATCACCGTCATCCTTGCCTTCCTCCTCCTGCAACAGGCCCCGGGGGCTGGCTGTGGCTGGGGGGATCCAGCAGCCCCCTCCCCACCGGGTCTGCACCTTCCCCTTCCCTCCAGGGGTGAGGGGACCCCCAAGGCCGCCCCTCACCTTGGCGATGGCAGCCGAAGCCACTTCCAGCGCCGCGCAGAGCCGAGGCTTGTCCTTGGCCATCTCTGCAAGGGGACACGGCTACGGGGATTGCCCAAAATCTTCACCCTTCAGCCCAAAACCCCAGCACTGCCCCCTGCCAGCTCCAGCACTGGGGGATGCTCAAAAATCACTACCTTTAAGGAGCTCTCTGGCCGGGTTTCCTTTCTCCAGGAGGTTCTTGTTGCTGGAGGTGACCAACACCTTCAGCTCCTCTGCTCGGGAGATGTACTGCCTCACCTGTGCACATTTTGGGGGTGAGAAGACCCCGATATGGGATGCAGAGGACGGGGGTGCTGCCCCCACCCCACCGGGGGTTTTAGCTCACCTTGGCCCGGATGGCTTCTTTGCGCCGAGCGTCGCTTTCATCTGACGGAGAGAGTGACCAAACACAGGGGTGGGTGGGCTGAAAACTGAACTCCCCCGGGGTGCTGCCCCCCAAAAATACACCCGGGCCCCGCATAACCGCCGGGGGGACTCACAGTGCAGCGCTGGCACAAAATACTCCAGGGCTTTGCGGTAGAGGGAGAAGGCGGCACTGGCGTCTCCCTCCTGATCCTTCCTCACTGCCTCCACCACCAGATCGGTCTGGGGGACACAGGGCGGGTCTCAGGGCTTGGAACTCCCCCCCGTTCCCCGGGAGCAGCCCCCAGCCCTCGCTCACCGCCTTGCCCAGGCTCTCGGGGCCGGGGATGTGCTCCATGTCCACGAAGGGGTGGGCAAAGAAGCACTCGAAGGAGATGCGCTTCCGAGGGTCCCTCTCCAGCAGCTGTCCGAGGAGATCCCGGCATTCCAGAGAGAGCTGGGGCCGGCTGGGAAGCTGGGCAGGGAAGGGGCTGAGCCCACTGACCGCTGTGAGAACCCCCCCAGCTCCATCCCAGCCCACGTTACCTCCACGGCCCGGTCGCTGCGGATCTTCTCCTCCAGCTCGGCGAAGGAGCGGGAAGCGAAGGGCGGCTTCCCAAAAAGTGCTTCTGTGGGAGGAAAAGGAGCGGTGGGGGGAGATGGAGAGGGGGAAAGCAGCCCTGAGTAGAGCCCCCCGGGGCAGTAAAAGCCAAGCCCACCGTAAAGGATGACACCCACGGACCACAGGTCCGCGCGGGAGTCGTAGTGCTGCCGACACACCATCTCAGGGGCCATGTAGAGCGGGGAGCCGCGCAGCACGTGCTTCTCGTCCCACGGGGACATGTACTGAGCAAAGCCGAAATCTGCCGGACAGAGAGCTCGTGGGGGCACAGGGAGAAGGGATTTGCCCCCTCCCAGCCCCTCCTGGGGAGCTGTCCTGACCTGCCAGCTTCAGCTGGGGGTTCTCCGGGGAGCTCAGGAGGATGTTCTGCGGCTTCAGGTCCAGGTGGGAGATGTTGCGGTCGTGGAGGAACTTCAGGGCGCAGGCTGGGAGGGCGGATGGGCACGTGATAGCACAGCCCAGCACCCCAAAACCCTCGGGAAGGGTCCCCGGCAGAGCCGGGCGGGGTGTCCTCACCGAGCTGCTGCAGGAAGACGCGTGCCACCTTCTCGGGGAGCATCCGGCGCGTCCGGATGAAGCGGGAGAGGTCCCCCCCGGCACAGAACTCCATGATCAGGTAGATGTGGTCACTGTCCCACTGCGCGGCAATAACACCCAGCCGTGCCACCCCGGCCGGTCCCACCCACACAGGCTCACCCGGAGCGCTTTGCCCAGTTGCTGGCACCACGGACACACCCTTGGGAAGCGAGGATGGATCCATGCCAGAGGAGTTCTGCCCCAGAGCACCCCCCGCACCCCGGGAAGGCCCCAGCCCACCTGGAAGTCCTTGAGCTCCACGATGTTGGGATGGCGGATGGTCTTGAGGATCTCGATCTCTGTCAGCAGGTTCTCCACCGACGCCCGGTTCAGGCTCCTCTTGTTGACGCATTTGATGGCCACCACCTCACGCGTGTCCCTCTGCCGAGGAGGGGACAACGCTGGAGCCCCCCAGCCAAGCGGCCACCCTGGGCTGCTCCCCCAGCGCGCAGAGTGCGGAGGGAAGGGAGCCCTGCAAGGGAGCGGCCGGCGCCAGGTGGGGGCTACAGGGACGGTGCCCCATGTGGAGGACGGGAGAACGGGGGTCCCGCCGGAGTGGGGGGGCAGACTGAGGAGCAAAAAGGCGAACCCCGCGGCGGGCTCGGCCCTACCTTCCTGTAGGCCTTGTAGACGGTGGCGTACGTGCCGGAGCCGAGGGGCTCGGTGAGGATGAACTCATCGAGGCGCGGCGGGGCCCAGCCGGCCCCGGCCATGGCCCCTCCGGACCCCCGGTCCCGGCACTCGGGACCCGGGAG